AAGAGCATTGTATGTGATTTGAGTTGGACCAAAATCTAATAACTTAAAGAGAATGACCTGTTTAGTTGGCTCAAAGTTCATTAAAACAACAATTTCAAAAGCTGAACTGATTTTGTTTTTTATGTTATAGTAAGAATATGTATAACTATGTTTTAACTAATTGAAAAAGCTGAATAACCGTTCCAAACTTAATGATTAGCCGGCAAAATAATCGACGATTAGTCAATTAATCATTCTTATAATCGTTAGATTAATCGATTATCAAAATAATCGTTTGTTGCAGCCCTAAACACCAGCAATTTCAAACCACGTTTTTTGAGACTGCCTTTGGTTAACTGCAGTTTTAAGAAGAACATACTCAGCAATGGTGTTGACTTACAAATTTTCACATGGTTTGTCTTAAAGCATATTAAAAACATATTAAAGACATAAGCAACATTAAAAGCTTGTTTTGTTTTTTTACCACAGGGGGACGTTAAGGCAAACCACCAAACCATGATTTTTTACTTGCTAGTCGATGGCAAACTTTGAATTGCATCTAATGAAATCACTAAGAGAAGACAAACGCACCAGGAAAAAGAATACTGAGGGAGAAAAGAGGAAAAGGATGAAAAGTAAAATTCGACTGATAGTTGACTGATGTTAAATGAGATGTTCATGAGAGGGAGGAAGTGCATTAGCTGAGTGAACGAGAAATCAATAACTGGAGAAATCCCAGTGCTGGATAAGACAGTGACAGAGCAGTGAATGGGGACGAGATGAGGAACAAGAGAGGAGTGAGACTGAAAAATGAGTGCCAGAGAGACCAAAAGTGAAGTAGGAGGAGCTGATGCCAGAAGAACTATTAAGAGAGAATTGGTTTTCTAGATGTTGTCTTTATTACAATTATTACCAGAGAACATCTGTAGTTTCATGCACTGATTTAGACAGGACTGGGATCTTTATAGTTTTTACTGATGAGAGTGTTATTTGTCTGGATGTCAGTGTTACAGTATCATGTGCTCTGGATTTGTGCATCAGAAACCCACTGCAATGAGCCATCACGTTTAGGATCACATCTGACACCACTCCATCTGATCCATTCTGACCAGTGTCTATGATGGGAAACTACTTTAGTTTGATGTGCTTGATGTGTTAAAAACTAAAAACTAAACTCAAACAACCCCATAAAATGGGGATGAGATAAAAGTGTGCAATTAAATATTCAATATGTGAATAATGTAAAAATATTCATTTTGTGTGGTTTATGAGTGTCTGTAATGTTACAGGTTGCTGAAGGCATATTGTGTGTCTGAGTTCTGGCCATGTTACATAAGCACTGATGCACACTAGAGCAATGAGACCGAGATGAGTTCAGTTCATGTCCACAGGGCCAAAAGTCATTGCAGAAAAAAATTAACATATGGAAAAACATAATGGTTTACTATACCCCATATGAAAAAAAGGTAAAACATGCTACATACTAGGGAATATACTATACCATACATGTACATACACACTATACTTTACTAGGGATGTCAAAACTTGATTCGGTCATAGGTCAGTATTTAAAAGAGAGAGAAAAAGAAACCGTCACTTTAGTGAATCACTATAACCGAATCTGTTCTATAACTAAGTGCAGTCACTGTATTCAAGTCATCTGCTGTGTGAGTTAAATCCTGTAAAAGTAATTATGATATCTGCAATTCTGAAATTTACTTAAATATTTCATACTTTTGTTAGATACCTAATAAACTTTAAACAAATGCTATTTTTGTTTAAACAAAACAAATCTTTATTCTAGAGCTTCATGTTTCTACTTATTGTATTTTTTGTGTTTAACCCAACAATATATTATATACTGTATACTCAGCGCTGTTTACTATACACTGCAACAACTAAACGATAATAATCGATATTCAAAATAATCGAAAATTTGATTATCAATTAATTATGTGAGGTGTTTGAAAAAAAAAAAAAAATGTCCGCCAGTTTGCATTGTTTGAAATAATTGTCAGTTGAACTGATTATCAAAATAATCATTGTAGCCCAGTATAACAAATAGGGGTGTCCAAAATATTTTACAAATTAATAAGGAAAAAAATAGATTTTACTGGTTTTCTGAGGCCAAATTAGAACCTGGAAATGTATTTTCCCCGCAGTGCTGAATGAGAAAAGCCGTAACCACAGCCTAGGCCTACAGAAAGGGGATTTATAGGTGATTTATAGGCTATAATAAATGTGTCTGATAATAAAATATTGTTTATTAATAAACTATTGTTTTTTAAATCAGTTTCGGCTAAAAACATATCTCCATCTCCGGATGCACATTTAGAGACAGAGAAATACATAGCCTAATTAGCTACATAATTACTTAGTCAGAAGATATTAGCTTTCGATACGAATTTGTTCGTTTTAAATTGGACATTTAAAGCTTTAGTCTACAAAGCTTTAAATGTCCAATTCAAAATGAGCAAATTCGAATGCGGTGGCTGTTTCAGTTCTCGCACTCCAGTTCACGGAGATCATGAAGCGCGCCTGGTTGTTTATTTTTTTTTTTTACAAAAGCACAACGTTTTCTTGTTATTGTGAGTTTACGCAAATAAATGTATTTGCAAATAATGTATTATTATTTTCTGTATGACCAGAAATGAAAGAGTATTTTAAGTTGTTTCCACTGAAAGGAAACTGCAAGTGTTTGCATGGGCGTCTCGCAGCCATCAGTGCGCGCTCCACACTTCGCACACACACTGGATATACGTCAAAATATTGTGTTTATTTGTGCTTTGTTCCTTTTTTGGATAAAGGCGTCTTCTACATATGCAGCCTAATAAAATGTTACAATAATGATGACGATTATTATTATTATATGCGGACACGGACCCAAAACACACAAAATGTCGCATTGCAGTTTTTTGATGTATACTTTTTTCGAATTGCGGAGTTTTTGTGAAATGGACGTGTTTCCAATGTGCGTATTTTCAATTGGCAATTTCAGTTTGAAGGGTGATGGAAACGCACCTACCGCCTACTTTAACTGCTCTTTACTTACCACTGCATTTTATTTCTATAAATTAATTTCGTTTCAAATGGGGTCCAACCACACTCTAAAAAATGCTGGGTTGTTTTAACCCAATTTTGGGTCAAATATGGACAAACCTGAAATGTTGGGTTAAAAACGTAATGTAAAAATTTAACCCAACGGCTGGGTTAGTCCATATTTGACCCAAAGTTGGGTTAAAACAACCCAGCATTTTTTAGAGTGCAGTTATTAAAGGTGTTAAAAATTAACTCTGTATCTCGAGGTTGCGACGCGCACACTATGGTTAACCGAGTATTAACCGCTAAGGGACTCGGTTAACGGTTAATGAAAAATTTGAAAACGTGCAGCCCTAATACCAAACAATGATTACTACAATAATCATTGTAGCCCAGTATACTAAACAGTATACTAAACTGTATTTTTGTTAGTATTTTTATATACAGTACATGGTATGCTACATACTGTATACTATACCCTATGTACTATTTATGCAGTGTTATAGGCGCACTGTAAACGGCACACTATATACTATGGTATACCATGTTGTTACGAGGTGATTCAGAGGGTCTGTTGTCTTTTGGGACATACGGGTTTGAAGTTTGTGCATGAGCACACATCTAATGTATCACAGTCCTAAGAGATGGGGATTTTCGGATGAATCCACCCAGAAATCTACAGGACTGAAATGTACAGAGACGAAGAGAGGGAGAGAAAATGAGAAAGTCATTGTTCAGAGGCAGAATTTTCAGGGGATAATTAGTAAGAGTGAGCGCTGAGGACTGGGGCTGAAGAGTGAAACTGTAAAGCTCCAAGCAGAGATTATCTAAACCAGAGCTGAACTTCTCCTGACTCTTCTAATCACTCCTCAAAGACGGCTAGTCGCATAGCATATCTCTCACGCTGCAGTAGCCAGCTAACCCACCCAGCCCCAGTCACTTCAGACTTTAGTCCAGTCTTGTGCAGGCTCTAGATTAGCTCTGAGCAGAAGCCGTTTGGATGACCTTCAGCCACCAGTAATTTCATCATCCCCAGCACCAGCACACTGATCCTCAGCCATTAGCCTAAGCTAATAACTTCTTCTCATCTCACTAAAACATAAGTAGATGGTTGGTGAAGAGCTGATTTCATTTCCCTCCTCCAGTACATGAAAGAAAACGGTTACGATTAGCTGTCTCTTCCATTATCCGCTATGTGTGGGGTAGCTAGCAAATTATAATTTGTTCAGTTATGTAAATGTTTAGGCCTATTTATCCGTTTTATTAAAAGTAATTGTATAGAGAGGACAGGAAATGTGTCTAGTGTCAGAATAACTTCAGGACTGTTTGCACTTGACGTGTCAAAGCCATGTGTCATTTCAGAATGAAGTGAAAATACATGTTTTTTGAAAATAAAAATAAAAATAAAAAATAAATCAGAATGAAATGAAAATAAAAAGAGTTTCACAAATGTTCTAGCATCTTCTAGTACTTTGGCTAAATTAAAAGCAGCAATTTCAAAATTCCGTTGCTAATTTGATTAATTTGATTAATTGATCAATCCTTATTTCAGTTTTCACACAGCGATAGTGTAGAAAAGTGTAGAAATCTGTCGATTTTAAAGGGGCAATTGTAATCTTGTTTGTATTGTGCAGACAGAACACGATGCTACAAGAATTTGCTCAAATCACAAGGTCAACAACAGCAAAGAGATCCAACAGGTCGATTTAAAGGAAAGATTCTGTCGCAGCATCTCTGGTTTTAAAGCATAAATATGCGGTGGTGTTGAAATACACTCGACCTGTCCCTGGAGTCACTGACTCAGCCCAAAACACAAGCCCTCTCTGAATGATAGACCGACATCTTCAAAATCCTGCCTGTTCATGCACTCAGCAACATGAGACACTGCAATATTATATGCCTCAGCATCAGCAATGGAAGTAGTATTTAAATAAGAAGACAGAGACCACCAAAACATCTCCATATCATCGTGAATTATACCATTAATCTGTTTTGACCGCAAAAAAAATGGTTTCATAATCAGCACTGATGGCTGGGCTGGCTGGAGAAGAAGAGCCCAGATACCAAAGGCTCACAAACTTAACTATTAAAATCTGCAGAAGGCCTACTGATATGATAAGGAACGCATGCAATACCTTTGTTTCTGCCTATATAGGGGTTGGTTGAAGAGGTTCCACAGAGACAAACAGGAAGGGAGATGTCAACAAGAAGGACAGTGGGAAAGAGAGAGACAGGGACAGTAAATTGGAGGATGACTGTTCTGCACACATACATATTCAGGACAGATTCACATGCACTTGAGAATAGTGTGAGCATGCAAACTGCCGTTTCAGACTTGAATTAATATGGACATATTGTTACCCCATCCATATCACTTGAACTGAGGTGGAAAAAAAGTTAGTGTTACTCAAACTAACAGACAGAGGGACAGAGTTTGGCACTATTTTGTATTTCTGGTCTGGAAAACAGGCATATGTTGACATATGGTTTCTCCATAAGGACTAACCTATAGACGAATCCGGCGAAACTACCGGAAGTAAGCGGGGCGCCATTACTGAGCTGTTGCTGGGTAGCGTTGCGCCATTGCCTCCTATTGTTTTAGTTGCAACTTGCGTCCACTGGAATAAACAGCTCGTGATTTACGACTGTCACTAACGTTACAACGTCACCCCTTGTATAATGTCGAGTAGGTAAACAGTTTCCGTTATAAATTGTTTCAATGGTGGCAGTAAAATTTAAATTTTGAAGAGAAAACATTGTGAATACCCCGGGTCGACTGCCCCTGTCTGGTGCCGTACGATTTACACAGATTTCCTGGGCGAGTACAAGAGCGGACATTCGCGTATAATAACAATTATTTAATGACATAAGTAAAAAAATATAATAAATATGTGATATAGTGATCAGCAAAATCTCCTCTCTTGTTATTTTTTCTATTCAATTAACATGCTATGGTCATTAAATGGCTTTCCTGAGCTAAATGTAACGTTATGTGACATAATTGTTCTCCTGCTGTTATATTGACCTCTTTCCATGGTTTAAAAACAGTAGTTGGTCGATATTATGTATACTTTCTAGCTGTAACGTTACCTTACCCATGCCCGTTGCAATGTGAAAATGAGATAAATAATGGACACAAATGAAAAACATGAAATTGTTTATTTGATTTCATTTATTTATTTATTTCTTGTTGCCAAATGGACAGATCTTTTTTTAGTTTCCTCGGTAGCAAACGTTAGCCTAGCTTGCTTGCCAAGCTATTTTCATAAATAATCTGTAAGATCGTTTGTACCTTCATCTGTGACTGGAGGCCAATGTCTAACATCATCTACCCAACAAGTCTGCCTGGCTGTAGCTGTCATCAAGGGTGCGTTATCACCTTATCTCCGAGGTTTGTTTACATACCGGTGCATATGTCTATGCCGGTGTAACAGCTCAGTAATGGCGTCGCCACAAGATGGCAGCCTACACAAGAACGCTCGTCGGATTCGTCTATTCTATGTCCAGTTCAAAGGCTTTGATGTCAGAGCACAAGTGCGTGAATGAAGGATATATAACGGATTCATGTCTGTATGGCTGTCCATCACCACCATAGGCAAGATGCACACAACAGTGACCTAAATTAGTGTGAAAACCCTTATGAAAAAATAAGTATATTTCAAGTTCATTTTATGAAGTATACTTGAGTCAAGTTCAAGTATATTTTAAGTTTACTTTATCCTAATATCAATGTATTAGTAGTGAACTTGTAAGTGTACTATTTCAATACTACTTGGGACATAATTGGCCCAATTTTTAAAAGTTTATGTTTGAGTTTACTAGAGTAGACAGTAGACAGTAGAAAACTTTTAAGTGCACAACTTGTTCACTACTACAACTATGTTTCTCATTTGCACTGCATAGTGAACTTAAAAGTATACTAGTAGTTTACTTTCTTAATATGTTTTTTTTTTCATTGAAGTGTATCTCAGTAAACTAGGTTAATGTGGGTTTATACTGCAAGTATACTTGTAAGTTTTCTTTAAGTGTGCATAACATTATACTGATAGTTTACTATTTTTGCACTTTACTAATATTTTTATACCTAAATATACCATTAAATCTATCCATTTTAATATAAAACATTTTTGTTCTAGCTTCATGCATTCTTTTAGGTAAGTTTAATAAAATAAACAAAAGATTTTAAAAACAAAAAGCTGAGAAAATCGCATTTAAGGCTACGTCAGGATTGGATTCAGAATTATGATCAAAGCATAGATGGAGTAGATCGAGTCCACCAACACCCCCAAAGCTTCACAGTCTTTTCTTCCTCATGAGTTCAACATTTCAATCGGTATCCACAAGTTTCCTACGCCCCATGAGGCCTTGCGTCAAAAGTGGGCGCGACTTCCGGTTGGAAGTAAACAAAGCGCGATTTGACATGATTGACACTCGTTCATTCAACAGTTGACAGTCATTCAAGTTATAGCGATCCAAACTAGCTAACGATGTGGGAACACAACCTCAACGAAATTCAAAAGGGTGAAATAACAGTGCCTTTACCCTCCGCAGTAGTTGATTGGGAGTATTATAATAACATTATTAATAATCAATACTCATCAAGGCATGGTGACAGACAGTTGTGCGAGCTGACAAACAATTAAAATAAAAAATACACACTTAGTCGTGCTTTGGTCGGAGTTTATTCAAAATTATAAATGAATGTGCTTCTTGAATACATTAACTGGCACATTTGGAATTCTGTCAACACAGGCTTTGATCCTGAGTTTAGGTGTAACATCAGTAGCGAACAGCCAATCACATGCTGATAGAGTTTATAGAACATTAAGAATTTAAACAAATTTATACAGGAAGATTCGTCGTCTTTTGGGAGGTGATGGAAACTACAGTCGTTGGCAGGATCAGAGACGGGCTCTGGCAGGATCACTCTGATTTCGTTTTCAGCTTATGTTCAAAACAATCACGTTTAAGCCACTAAATTAGTTTAGTCCGGTTATACATACAACCGTGAACAGCACATGTTGTCCCTGAGCTCCGTAACGACATCTCTCATAAAGATTTGCATCTTTAAACAGTAAAATAATTCTCAGAAAAACAGCTAGCCTCTTCGCTAACTAACACACAAAATACCATTGGAATGCTACTTCCGCCGCGTCACCGGAAGATTCACCCACTTTATTTTTTACAGGAGCGCCCCTCGGAAACTTGTGGATAGGCAGTTTTGATTCGTATGCGGTTTAATGTTTGATGATAACGTTATTTTGTGTAAGCAATCGTCTATTGCTTGTTTCTGCTGCTTCTTCAAAATCTATTTTGATCCAGAGATTCAGTACTAGGAGATGCGTAATAGTGCCCCCTACAGTATAAAAGTAAAAACATGGCTAGCCAGAAAATTATATTTTATATATCATTTTATAATATATAATATTTTAATAGGTTAATTTATATCTATAAACCAATATTTAGTCAGAAACTAGAAAGCTCCTATTGAGTGACAACTTAATTAAAATTTGCTACCATGTTATTTGCAACCCTGTTATTCTGACATTGATTTTAGTGCTTTCTTTTTAAATAAAGATGTATCTATATTTTATGTTTAATCCAAGAAAATAGAAAATCACAAATTAAAAATTGTATTTGGACAAAAAATGGGACAAAATTAATGTTAAACAATATTATCTAAAATTATAATATGATATTTTATATGAAATGATGTTTACAAACTATATTGAGTTTGACCTTCACATGTAGAAAACCAACATTTTCTGAACCTTCTTTCACTATTTAAAAGTTCAGGACATATCCATCTCACAGATCATTCATATACCACAAATTTGAAAAGAAAAAAATATTTCAAACTATTTAAAAGCAGTCATTCTATCAATAATCCCTTTTGCTTCCTTCCAGCACTGTTCATTCAGAGAAGAGCTGTTCTGTTTAACCCAAGAATGTATTATTAATAGCTGCATAGTAATTCCGCCAGTCTATGAATGATATCTAAGTAATACAGAGGGCAGATCAGCGCTTGTACATTATGGGTCAGTTGGCACAGCAGCAGTTGAACGTAAGAGAGAGAGAGAATGTAACTTTCTAGAACATCATAGGCGGAGTCAAACCTGTGAAAACCTCACTCGTAACCTGTCAGTTCACCGCAGTATCACAGAGAGAAATTACATAATTCGGCAAGAGGACAATAATCATGCAGTGTCACAAGGGCAGAGCCAATCATAAAGAAGCATGCACATGCAGGAGAAGTCGCAACAAAAATGTAAACATGTTGGAAAATGTGCAATGAGAGAATTAAGACAGAGCATACCTTGAGGAGACTTCACCATATGCGCGAACCCTTGGGGAAGACAATGAGCGTGATAGACAGAGAAAGAGAGAAAACTTGAGAACACCAATACCAATTCTGTTCAGGTATTGAGAACACTCATAGTTTGCTAACAGACAAACCATGGCTATCACACTAAAACTGAAGCTTTCTGCAATTAAAAAAAAGCTTCATTCAGAAAAGAAATTGACAATAACATTTCTAACTTTCTAATCCAGAACATATGTGCTAATAACTAGGGCTGTCGATTCATTTAGCACAATTACTTTGGAATTTGATCAGAAATACATGTAAAAAATGACTGCAAAATATTATTACAAATGTAAAACTGCTGTAAAATATCATTCAAACTGCGGAAAACAAAGCGTAATTCTTATGCTACGTTCACACCGGACGCGAATAGCGTGGCAAATTCACGTCTGTGCATCAAGAGTGAAACTGACGCGCGTAAAATCAAAAGTTTGAAGCGAAATTTACGTGCGCCTCGCGCGTCAGAATCGGAACCCGTTGGCGGCCATCTTTTTTTATGTTGATCGAGCATTCATCGAGAGAGTCACCGCTCTGTATTTACTCTGGAGAGCAGAACAGTGGCGAGGGGACCATCGTCGCCGTATTTGTGTCCACCGAACCCTTTGGAGGTGAACCGTTTGGCGAGTTTCCCAATTTGCTCGCTTCAATTTGCTGCGCCTGGATGACGGCCGCTGTCAGCGGTACTTCCGCGTGTCCCGCACCCAGTTTGATGACCTGTTGTCCTGCATCCGAGCGAGGATCACCCTCGCCCTCATCCATCTAATCTGTCATTTGGTTTGGTGATAAATAGAGCCAGCCTCCAAAAGTTATTAACCTGTCCTGTGATTTTTTTTCTCTCTTACTTCCAGACACGAACTTATGCGCATGCACAAGTTGGTTGTCTTCACATCATAATACTATTTCAAATATTCTAGATATGGAATGAATAACATTCAATACAAAATGTCTCGTATATTGAAATAAAGTTTTTTAAAGGTCCCCTGACATGAAATTTTCATTTTCTGAGGTTTTTTTTAACATTAATATGAGTTCCCCTAGACTGTATTTGGTCCCCATGTGTCTAGAATTTTCAATCGGTGTAAACCAAGCTTTGGCTATTTTTCTCTTCTCTGCATTGGTCTGCATTCCAGACGCGCTGATCTAGAATCTCCCCCTATATAACGTCATACGGGGGAAAGGTTACTCCCCTTTCTCTGCTTTGCCCGCCCAGAGAATTTGGCCTGACGATGAGAAAACGAGCTAGGAACAGGAAGTACAAACACACGCAGGCGCGATTTTATTTTTTCCTAGAGAAATAGCTTTGAGATTAGAGTTTTTCCTCGAGAGATATCATAGCTTGCAAACGAGCGAAGCATGGCAGTTGCTCAGTGTTCGGATGTACAAATGAACAAAAAAGTATTTTTTAAGTTCCTTCATCCGCGCCTCTGAAGAAACAATGGGTTAATTTAATTTTCTCTGGAAATGCGCCGATTCAACTCCCAAAGTTTTGTATGGTCCAAACAGGCAGGAGACAGGTAAGTTAATCTTTCTCTCAAAATCGTTCGATACTGTTTATGCATCAGTAAGTCAAGCCAGACTATCATCAACTTCACATCGTTTCTTTGAGTAGGATGAAAATAATCTTATTTAAAGAAAGTCTTTAGCAGGATTGAGATTCTAAAGGGTAAGCACGCGCTGCTTTGTTTACGTTGTGTGTATCTGCAGCCGGCAGCGTCGGTTTTCCATTTTGAATGACGAATATAGAATAATATATCTGCAGATATAGACAGTTGGCTCATTAAATGCAGGCGCAGAACGCACATTAGGCTATAGCTGACAGTCGGATGCTGTTCTCTCGGTGAGTTCAAGTGCAGTTTTTTACCTCGACGAGAGCGGACGAGTTCCGGGCTTTAGAGAGAACAGAAACTGCGTTACACTGCACAACGAAGCCCTTACTGTATGTACATCATCGTGTCTGCATTGGTGAAAGCAGAGAGAGCAGAAACTGTGTTATACAATAAGATCTTCATTCTCGCGATCGACAGACTGTCATCTGCTGCTCAATGCTCATCACAGCAACATTTTATGTGATGAGAATCTAAATACTTCAAAAACTTCTCACGATTCAGTAATCTCGATATCTGTAATAGTAAAAACTTATAATAGCTGTAGTAAAACGTATTCAAGAGAGTTTCACATGTAATATGTAGCTATTTCATATGCAAGCATGTTAGCCAATCACAGCAGTGGGCGGTTACATTGAATCCCACAGCAGACACGCCCCTTCAAACAGAGCGTTCTAAGCAGATGCTAATATCAGGCTAGGAAAAATGCATTTTATTACAAAATTATGACTATTTTTGATCTAAAAAACATACTAACATTATAAGGGCAACCCAGGAAACTTTATAAAATAATAATAATAAAAAAAACCTGTCAGGGGACCTTTAAGTGATAAAATATTTGCTTTGTTGTGCATAAAAGAATCCCACCATGCATTTAGTCATATTACAAAATAATTTATTGAAGCATCCAGATACAGCAAGCAGCTAGGCTCCTGATTGGTTAACGCGACGCAAATTGACGCCAAAGTTCAGATTTTTCAACTCGGACGGCAGGCGCAAATTCGCGTCAAACACGTGAGTGCACAAATAGCACTAACTAAATCATTCGCGCTTAACGCACCAGACGCTCAATTGACCTATGGGTAAGCCACAGGTCACAGTGTAAACATGATAACCCGCATATTGGTGCTACAGTATTTACATGAATCATTCAGCAAAACACTGTTAACACTGCTATCTCGGTTATTTACAGATATACGTCAACGAAGCTAATTGACATAATGTACAACGCAGCTAGAAGCTAACGTTAATGTTTTCTAATGTACGTGAGTCCGTCTAACGTAGACTAATGTTACGTTAGAGATTTAAAAGATAACGGTCAAATAAGTTGTTGACTTAACTTAGATCAGATGTAGACATCCTTGTTTAATTTATCCGCGTTTAGTAGGTGTTGTGGTCTAGCTACTGCATAACTTTATCCAGAGGAGACACTTATCACGGTTGAAATGTGGCTTGGAAAAAGGGTAAAAAAAATACACACCGTCGCCCAGCCTCTCAGGAACCTAGTGTCAGTTACATGTACCCCTTGCACAACGTTTAACCATTTTAAACTTAAAATAACAAGAAAAAAAGTAATGAAAACTGACTAACTCCAATGCATTTCAATGGAAGTGGAAGCAGAGAATGTCCGAGTGTATTGGGTCAGCTGCGCACTGTGATTAGCTCATCGCATTTGAGGGCGTGGCTTAGCCATAGGTCAATTACGCGCGAATGAGGTGTATTTGCATCTACCGCGTCGCGCTCTACGCTTCATTCGCACCGCAGGAACGTGCATTGCATGTCTTTGCATTGACTTAACATTGAAATCATTCGCTCCTGATGCGCTATTCCCGTCCGGTGTGAACATAGCATTAGCAGTCCTCAGTGTCACATGATCTTTCTAATATCGTCATAATCAATCTAATATGCTGATTGGTGAGCTTGTAACATTTATTATTTATCAATGTTGAAAACAGTTGTGCTGCTTCATATTAATGTGGATCATTTTTTTCAGGATTCTTGTGACTTTTTTGAAATAAATTTAAAGGGCTTGATTAATTAATCAACATTATGTAATCAATTTGAATATTTTTTATATAATTGACAGCCCTAATATTTAAGTAATTTGAAAATATATAATACTATTTGACATTTCACACATACAGCCTTTGCCAGAAATTTAAATGTGTATATTCATTTATATTTAAATATTTTGCCAGCTATGAGGGTTTTTCGACTTTACAATCACATATTTCTTTTGTCAATGTCAATTCATTTAGCCACAAAATTCTGCAAACTTGTGCATTCAGCTCCAAATAAATTGTGCACTCCCATTCTTCCATCCAGTAGAAATATGGGTGTTTTATTAACAGAAAATGTATTCATTGTTTTAAATACTATGGTGGATTCCTAGAAAGCATGCGTAGCTTATGCTAAACGTCGTCACCTCCGCGACACACAGCCTTGGCTTGTAAAAATGGAAAGAGCTCAACTTAATGAGGTGTGGGAGTATTTCACTACAAACAAGGATTATGTTCACTGCCAGCACTGTGATAGTGTGCTGAAGTACAACATGACAACAAACACTATGATCGTCTGTCAGGAGAACTGCAAGCCGCGAGAAAATGACCAGTATGTTAAACACTGTAAACACAAGTACGTTTTAATTCAGTGTAATTTAAAATATGTAGCTGTATTTTTTATTGTTATTAATGTTAATACATTTTAACATATTTATTGAATCAATGCATTTTAACAGCTTACTGGAAACTTAAAGGAGTAGTTCACTTTTCAAAAAACTTTTGCTAATAATTTACTCACCCCCGTGTCATCCAAGATATATAATGGACTTCAATGGGAACCAAATGGTTAAAGGTCCAAAAGACAGTTTCAGTGCAAACTGCAAACTGTTCAAAGGGCTTTAAACGATTCCAGACGCTGAATAAGGGTCTTATCAAGCGAAACGATCGCTCATTTAAAAAAATAATAATAATAATGCGCGTTCGTGACTCTCCTTTTCGAACTCGTTCATCAAAATATAAAATGTTTTTCCCCGAGTCAATTCGTTCATTTCGTTCGTTGAATGAACCAAATGACACGAAAAAATATTTGTTCATTTTGATAAACGAGTTTCAACAGGAGAGTCACGAACGCGCATCACAGAACAGAGCAAGGAGAGCAAATCCTGGAATGGTTTCATCTAAAACCTTAATTTCTTTTCTACTGAAGAAAGAAAGACATGGACATATTGGATGGCATGGGGGTGAGTAAATTATCAGTTTTTTAAGTGAACTACTCCTTTAATAGAGGGAAATGTTTAAATTAACTTTATGCTAGGGTATGTGGGGTAAGTGCACAGGATATTTGGAGTCCTGTTTTATGCGATTTTATGTGTGAAAGTGTCTATGAAGTGAATAGAACATTATTTGAATTCTCTTTATGTGACTTTAAGCTAAGTTTATACAGTATGTGATGTGGTTTCACAGCCTAAGACTCACTTACCAGGAGTTTTGTTGACAGCTTTTGAGAAGATGGCACAAAAGGGAAGGAAGACAGAGAAAGTTCAACTGTTAGACACACTTTTGACTTTGCATGGAGGCTGTCATGCAAATCTTTCATTATTTTTATCCTTTTTAGCTATAAACAGTTTGTCATGCAAGGGATCAGGACTGTCCCTTGCATGCCTGTTACAAAACAACCCTGTGGAAGAAAAAGTCCATAATATCTGTTCCATTTTCTGAGAAACAGATTGACATTATTGTTTCAAATCACTCCATCACATTGAGAATATCGCTGCAGAGATATTGTATAGTGTCCAGAATGCCACAGCGCTCCTCACATACACTGGATGAGGCCATAAATCCAAGCAGGTTACTAAACCAGCTGTCCGATGTAGACCATGTGGATTTACGAGGTTGTGAGGTTTGTGGATTTCAGGACACGCTGTGGACACGAAGAATTACTCTCACTGAAGACTCATGTGTGAATAGCTATCTAAGTAAATCATCCAAAGTTGTTTTATGTTTCTGAATAAACCATTTTAAAAGAATGCACACTGATTGCATGAGGAGAACAGCACAGTTCAACCAAATAATTACATACTGTAAGACCTGAAACCAGACATTTGAGATTGTAAAGCTTTTATGAATCACTGGTATTAAATTATATCTGACAAACCAATTAAAATCAAAGAAATAACTTCAATCTCAAGGCTGAATAATATTTTTTTTAAAGCTGATTAAAATAAAGCATGCTGATGGACTGAGAAACTTTAGACTGTGCTTTTTATCCAAAGCAACTTGCACTGTATTTAAGGAATATATATATATATATATATATATATATATATATATATATATATATATATATATATATATATATATACATATTACATGTTGGGAGCAGAATGCGCTACCAGCTGAGCTAAATGTTGCATTTCATATAGACATTTTTAATATTATGCCTTCAGAAAAGCAATTAACCGGCCATTGTTGAGCATGTCACACTAAGCAATCAAAGACTGATCATTTTTACAAATGAGGAAAGAAATCTTTTATTATTCACAAAAATTGCTCTCTCAGAAGGCAAAACCATGCAAAAACTATACAGTGTTCACCCTAGTTAGTATTCCCATAAGCCTCCTTTATTTCTGGCTGGGAAAAAATCATATGGATTTTCTGAAGGCCATGCAAAATCAGACATCTCCATCTGTTATCTTGAGTCTGTTTTTTTTTTTTTTGCTTTTTTAGTCTCTTTCCTGTCGTCCTTCCAGGGTTGGAACCAGAGGATGATCAGTTTATTTCTTCAATAATAGCTGGTCTGCCTGGCTTATTACATTTACAACAGGCTTTTAGGGCACACTTGTCAAGCTTTCAGGATTCGCTGGGTTTCTTAGCTTACAGCACTTTTGGTAAATTTAATCAACAGAGACAGTCTGATGTTTTACGTCTAAGTTTAATTGCAAAGTTGAATCGACCAGCATATGCTGTGTTAAGGATAATGGTGCTGGTGTCCCCACCAGACTTCTTAACTAGCTTATCTTTCTTCTTTTTCAGTATTGTACTACTCAAATCTGAGTAGAGGACCATATTTTCATGGTCTCTTTGTGGTCTGTGCCGACTCACGCTGCTCGATCTGCTCTGCGCTATTGTTTCTCTGGACAATGTGTGAGCTGTGGAGGTTTGCATGACGCGAAACCAGGCATCATTAATCATTATTACACTGTCTGAACCATTTAGACCCATCTTGAATAAACCCCCACAACCCTTTTTTTGCTATCTTGACTTGGACTCAACCTACTCAGGTCTCGGTCTGGACTCTGAATAAACTTGAATAAACTGGTCTCGACAACTACACTTCCTCCTATATCAACAAAATGGCTGCTTCTTAGAACAATACCCCTGCCTCCACCGTTAAATAATGACACAGACGATTGCAGAGCCGGATTTCCAGACAGTGTCACTTTGGCTGGTTACTTGAAGCATTGAGAGAGAGAGGGGAGGGGGTTTATCGCCTTCACAAGACCATATCCCTCTTGATGACATGCTGCTCAACTTTAATCCTTTGCTCTATTTTTCATCCCCAAACATTTCATCCCAACATTTGCCAGCATTGGGTCAAGAGACACAAATGCCCTGTGCGCCTGAATCAGAATGCTAGTCCTTTTCCACTTTTTTTATTGACCTACTTTTGTAGTAAGATTATAGTAACTGTCATATTTCCATGTATATATATTAATCCTCACAGCTAAGCCAACAGCGATTGTTTTGACATTTTTTTTTGCATGCTGTTCAGCATTAATTGCTTCTTATCTCGTCAAAGGCTAGGTTAAAAGTGTGTAGCTCGTAAGTGAAGAAAATAAGGTGCAGCTAATCACAGGAATATGGTTCTTTTAGTGATTAAAGCATCATGACTGAGTGACTACACTTCTTTGTAATGCAGTGTCTTGCAAATAAACTAACCGAGATTAAACAGATGGAAAGCTAATGGGTGCGTCTAAAATGCGACAAGCACAGAAACATCACAGGGTTTAATATTTTCTTGCAGGAACTCACAGTAAAGTGTTTGTGTTAGAGTGTGGTCTCTGTGATCTCAATAACTAAATGCTGTGGCACAGTTTGCCAATGATAACCTCTGATCCACATCGTCAGGCTAGACTGAACATGTGTTTTACGGCTAAACGCATATTGTTTTAATCTGCCTGCAGTTTAAGACAGATTTCTACATGATAATACTGGTGATTGCGCTCCAGCTGGGGTGGTGTGGCCCGTCTAATGCTTTCATACACACTGAGGTATGCGGCCTGCTTTCCTGAGCCATCTGCATGCTCTGAGGGTCTTTGCTAGCCTGTTGCCATGTCTATTTACATGTAAAACAAGTGCAGGTTGGACAGATTGCATATCGCTCATTGCAGGGGCAAACATTAAACTTATTAAATTATTTATAAGCTCACATTTGTTACTTTCCTACTGTGTTTTCACTGTTAAAGTGCACACTAAAAGATGAATTCAATAAACAAATAGGCAGTCCAGTTTCAAACATTGCATCTTGATTATCTATATTAAGCTATTATGTTTTTTAGTGACTAAATGTACAGTATGATGTTTTTAATTATTTAATTAATATTTAATTTTTCTTATTATTTCTGAAAGCCAAGAAAATGCCACCACATCTCAAAAGATGCATTCTGTGGAGTGGAAAAAATGGTGGAAATAAAATTATAGTTTTAAATGATTTTTTTAATGGCTTTTCATATTCTACAACTGTAGATTGTTGATTAATTCATTTTTAGCAAACCATGATTTGTATACGTACATTTCTGAAAAACATAACTTAGACAGTTTTGATAACAGATCACTCTAAATTGTAATGTGGATTTTTCTGAAACGATGTGCATTGTGAAAAACACTATACAAATAAATGTGAATTGAAGGTCTGGCACTGGGACTAGGGTAAAACAATAATACATAAAACAAATTCGAAAAGTAGCAAAACTAAAAGATGACGGCATGTAAAAAGTTGTAATCTGATCTATCATACTGTAATAAAAATTTAAAAGTCAAGCACATTTCAGAGCACGGGTATAGTCTGCTACATCCTCCACAATTTAGCACTTAGAAGAAATGGCTTGCAAACTAGGGAATTGTGGAGTACACATTAAGTTTAGCACAGCTTTTTGGCCATGTTGGCACATTTTCGTGATTTGCATCATTTCTTTAGTGAATCGAGTGCTAAAAAAACCCAGATAGAAGGCACGTTTATAAATTTATTCGTTGTGAATTCCCCCAAATAGTGAATTCACCCTAAACACTGCCATGCTGTGAGATTCTGAAAGCGTGTCAGTCCAAGTTTAAGCCCATCATTTGCCCCCATCGCCCACCAGCGAATTAGCCATTTCTCTTTCGTTCCAGCCCCTAATTACAGAGCGCTCCCACAGCTCAGCAGCGCAATCCGTTATCAGACACGTCCATTAATCTGTGGACACGACTGGGGCCTGATGAAGCCAAGACAGGCCTTGACAGCCACGCCTGCGGTCAAAGCATAGGACGGCCCGAGCTAAACCTTTGCACTGAGATTAGAGGTCCACTAGCTCTACATTTATCACATCAGTTTTCCCTTGAGCAGCTGCTGACTGGCTCCTCATTAAGGGCACTTTTTTAGGCCTGCTGCTCGCCGGAAGGCCAGAGATGCAAGAAACATCCTTCACTGGCCCTCCAGCCCTGAGCGCCCCTACAGATCCAAAGGTGATCTGATCACACAGCCTAATCTCCTGTCGCTGCCGCTGAGGACTATCTCTTAATCTTTATAAAGGAGCACTGAGGCACAGGGCTGGTGTGATCAGTCTAAAGGGCTTGGGTTTGATCATGAAATGCAATAAGGCAGGCATTCAGTTTGGGGTCTACTGATTCCCTGCCTGACTGGATGTCCTGAATAAATTGAGATGTTTGTGGAATTATAGACTATACACAGGGCACAACACGAAAAGAATAATCTCTCGTAACCCCAGCACCATAGTCTCCTGGCAATTCAGTGTGCGTTCGGAAAGTATAATCAGTTTTGAGACTTATATTTTAATACCTGCTGGTGAGTCTTCAGTGAGAGTAATCCCAAATAGGTCTCAACACTAGTGCAGTTGGAAAAAGAAACTTGACTGTTTAAAAATCAAGAAATGTACTATCATAAGGTCATAGAAATCCTAATCGCAGTTCAAAAAGGTTCAACTCTTGAAATTGTGGTGTACCTTCCATTTTCTGTAACATGTGCAGGATCTGGATATTTAATGGGGAAAAGTATCATTTTACCTATAAAAATGACCATATAAAACAATAAAAACAAAGATGGATATCCCTGAAAATATCCATGTGAAACACAATATATATGTAACATCATAGAAATCATTTCTGACATAAACTGTCACTCAATCATATAAGATACAATGAGCAAAATAATTACTGAAAATCAAAACATTATCATTATTAAATTTAGTCATAAAACTGACATGTCTGACCCCAAAGACTATCATGGACACTTAAACCACACTTTAAAATGGATGAATGCCATTGCATTAGAACAAATGGCATACTCTACTAACTTCACTTCTAGAAGTATTTTTGAAAATTGCTAAACTACTTCAGTGAATGTATAAAGTCAGTTCCCCTCAATTTCAAACAGGTGTCCTAGTAACTGATTTTATTCATTTATTTATTTTTTTAAAAACTTTTTTTTATGTTTCACTTGAAAGTGTGAGTAAACTATCTTTAAAAATTGCATGTTTTAATTCATGTAGTGACTTCAGTTTTAAGTATGACAACTGTCTAAATACTTTTTGGGTCTACTGCACATCATCATTATGTGAAAATGTAATACTTTTTACATGCTTTTGTACAATCAGTACTGTTTCAATGACAATTTCACAAATGAATGCACCAAGTGTGATTGGAGGTCGGGTGAATGACATTATATATTAAACATGATTTCTAAAAGTCAACATGACACAGCATTCAAGAGCCATTTTATTTTCGTGATTCGAAATATCCGATCAAAGGGGGGGGGGGGGGGTTACTGTTGAACTGCAAACTTAATTTTTTTTTTTTTTTCAACAAAATTATCAAGATGAATGTTGCTGAAAGGTGACACTGCATACTATATAAAGACCTGATTTGATATATCTTGAAAAAAATGGGTTTATTTTACTGCACTAGCATGTTGTTTCACTTGCTTATATTTAAAATAATTTAAAAAAAAAAAATACCAGTGTCAGTCTTCCAAGACAAAATAGACTAGTATTATAGATATATTCTCTGAAAAGTATTGCTTCTCAAGTACATGTATCTTGTTTCAAATATTTTTTTAAATATATATTTTAACAGGAAAATTAAACTGAAATAGAAAGAACCAATTTTTTTTTTGCAGTATGGGTTTTCTATTTCAGAATGACGCTTGAATCTTGACTTCAGTCTGAATAAAACAGAGAATAAACAACTATTCTGGGTATTGGTTAGCATTGATAATGGTCTATATACTGTACAGTAAGTGACATCAGTGAACAAGAAAAGCCATTTCAGAGCCAGAGCATGTCTTGTCATGTCATGTGTTGACTTTGAGATTTTGTTTAATCATTTGCTTATGTACTCTTGTAAATAAATCACATTTCATCGAAGACTCGTGTTGAAAATCAAAGGTAGGCCTAAATGTTCTTACCTTCATTGCAGTAACGACCTACATATCCTGTTTTGGAGCAGTCACAGTAAGCTTCACCGTCAGCCATGCTGCAAATGCCTCCATTTTCACAGGGGTTCTCCGTACACAAGCCTTCCATCTCTAACCGGACCTTTTGGCTTCCCAGGCGCGTTGGAACCTGATTCCCGTAACCCAGGTCTGTAATAATCCCCTTGAACGGTGGCATCTCCTTCGCCGCTGGTAGTGTTAGGGCAGTTGTCCGGATGTCTTGAGGCACTCCTCCGAGATACAGGTCACTGACAATCTTCATGAACTGCCTTTGCGGTTTCACCTCGTCCATCTTGGATTCTCCATCCAGTACCAACACCGTTCGCAAGTTGTGCCTGCTGATGGTTGCAAAGTGCCAGCGACTGTCGTTTACCATCTTGCCAGAGGTTATAGTGGTTTCTGCACAGTCCACGCTAAAATGCAACTTTAGCTTGCCTTCCTCAATGCTCAGGAGCAGGAAGTCACAATATCCTCCATCGTCAAAGTAGAGAACCAGAGCGTCTGATATAGCTGTTTTGAACTGAAAGCTGAGGTCACTTCTGGTGCTGGCGTCCCAGCGAAGATAACGTGCCCATTGACCCTCTAAGCCAGTGAACTCCAGGCCCAAACCAAGACTCAGGAAGGTGCTGAGCAGCAATAGTACACAACTGGGCCGGCAAAGGGGAGGCATGGTGATTATGCTATAAGGGATCCTCTAGCAATGAACAAAATAAAATTCCTCAATAATATTTTATGGCGAATTACGTGGAGGTAATTGATGAAACATCAAATCCTTTAGGTGATAACCATATGGGCGAAGAAGGTGAAGCCACTGAGGCTCTTGACACATGCTATCTTAAATCCTGTTTAGGGGTACCAGACCGAACAGCCTTGAGATTAGAACTGGACCGCTCAGATACACTTATCTATAAGAGAGGCTTTACAGGTGATGCTCCCTTGAGTCGACTTCCTGGATAAAAACAGAGATGCTCCATATTGGTTCTGATTCTATTATATCGCCACATGTTAATGGCCACATTGGGACTTTTTTGCCTGATCTGTGAAGAAAAAAGAAAAAAAGAGACAAACATCATTAGGGTCATTATGTACATTAAATATACAGACAAATATACTACAATGGACACCTTTGTATTCAGTTCTTTGAGTTATGTTTTATCATGATTAGTTAAGTGACAATGGCAATAAACAATTTGCATACTGTTTTGTTAAACAACATGCCATCGTTATAATATGAAGCTTATTTAAATAGTATATATAGGCATTGACAGTCAAAAATGCTTATTGTTAGTGTGTTGAACAGCTATTTTTGAACAAGGCCAATAGAAAATCCTTTCACTGAAAAATAAGACTTCTATTTTATAACAAAAAAAGTTTTAAATTGACTATTGGTAATTCTGTAATTTCTGCTTCCCTTCGGGTTAAGAAGTGAGTCATCCTTGACAATTTATATTTCAATTTTAAATCATGTCTTAAAACAATTTTTTTTTTAGATTAGCTTATTCTGATTGAAAGCCTTTGTGTGTGTGCATTTTTTTTCTCCATGTTTAAATTCATTGTTCATGTATTTTATTGTTTATAAGGTGTCCTTGAGTGTCTTTAAATAAAATGAATTATTATTATAATTATTATTATTATTATGATGATTCATTATTTAACTAACAATGGCAAGAAACAATTTGCACATTGCTTTGTTAAACAACATATCTTTATAATATGACACTTATTCATTCACATAGGCCTTCACAGTAAAAAATGCTAATTAATAATGTGTTGACCAGATATTTTTGAACAAGGCCAACAGTAGTTTAGCCTTTTACTAAAAAATAAGGCTAAAATTTGTATAACAAAAGTACAGTATTTTTTTATTTAAAACTGCATTTGCATTTAGGCAAATACAAGTAGTCACAAAATCCAGGGTCAAATATTTGCTGTTTACAACACCTGAGTATTTACAACACATACGATCGGTTGACAGATGTCTGTCGGAGAGAGACCGACAGACTGTACGTGTGTGTGTGTGTGTGTGTGTGTGTGTGTGTCAAATTCCATCCCTCCCTGCCCTGGCTGTTGCTTTTGACATGAAGCCCCCAGAGACAAAGCCTCCCCAATCGTAGCTGTTCCACCACGGTGCAACACAATAGCCCCTTTAACTACCTGCCCTGAATAGTTAATCTCTCCCTGGCAGCCAGGTATTGAATTAAGGCAACTGATACCAACACCGATGCGTGGAGCGTCCCTTGAGTGATAGTATAGGTCTTGTCTGTGTTTTAATAGAGAATGAGCGCTCCACAAGATTTGAGAAAGAAAGGTGAAAAGGGTGAGCCGAGCAGAACGCAGTGGCCAGGGTCAAGACATTTACCCATGCATGCCACACTAATAGGCAAGGCATCGTGGAGAACAGGTTTACAGAAGGACTTCCTGTTAAGTCTGCTATACTGCCAACGGGCCGGCCCGAAACCCGATCCTCACGCACGGCACACGATGACTGCCACTGGTCTGTCACGGAGGATTTATTACAAACATAATGCAGACTATTGCGTTACAAACGACATAGATCTGATCAGAACTCTCTGAAACAGGAGTCTATGAGGATTCTCGTTCAAAAGACATTTGGACAGGATTTTGGAGAAAAAGCATTCATCCTATTTAATATGTTCTGTATAATCCATAGAAAATTCACTCAAACAGAATGAGTGTTGCGTTTGGTGGTTCCCAAAAGGCAAAAGAACATGAAAAGCTTATACACATAACTATCAGAGGAAAAGTCTGCCTTGAATGATTTACAGTCATTTGCAGCATGTTTTATGAAAGCAAGGCCAAAGAAGGATACAAGAAACAACAAATAAATATCAAGCGTGGCGTCAGTTCTGGCAGGTCACGTTAGTCAAGCTCGCATCAGCTGACTCTCAGCTGATCCACGTCTACCTATAGGAATACGACGTCTATCACTGTATACCAATATAAGCTCTTCAGTATTATCAGCAGCTCTCGCGTTTCTCGAGGGCTAATTACCCTCCTCCATCCCCAGCTCCTCCTCTCATCAGTCAGCATATGGCATTCTGATTCCCCTTGAATCAGAATAAATTCTCAAATCATGTTGTACTTTAAAATCTTGAATTGATTATATCTGCAATACATTCATGTTGGTTCTGTTCTGTTCTGTTTGCTGCTCTCGCCCAGAACTGAACCATACCGCCAATCCAAACTGTATGCTAATTGTCAGTCGTATTTGACGATAATGTTCCTGACAGAAATACTGATTATGTCACCAATGTTGTGTCAATATCAGCAGGGTTTCTCATAAAAATGTCTCTAAAATTCTCACAATCTTAATGTCTCTTATCGAAAAGTCAATTTGACAACAAGTCGGCTAATACCTCCTGACTGACATGCATTCACAAAGAACAAGAGATGAGCAAGCCGTTAAAAACCTGCAGTGTAACAGTAATGTGTAGCAGCACCGGCGCTGAAACACACACTGTTTGAGATGGGATTCCCAATTAAAGGAATAGTTTTTCCCAAAACCTTATTCTGTCGTCATTTACTCACCCTCTTGTCTTTCAAAACCTGACTATCTTTCTTTTGTGGAACACCAGGATGTTATTTCTTGCAAAATGATAATGCTGTCTTTTCCATAGAATGAAAAATGACTGCCAAGCAGCTAACATATGCCCAAAAAACTGCAATGCTTTAATTATAGGTCTTTTATGATGCTTTACAGTTTTTATTATTATTATTATTATTTTGACAGGCCATTTTCTCCTACATTCTGGCAAACATTTCTTTCGGTGTTTCATGGGAGAAATGTTCAGGTCTTGGTATAAAACCTTGCCATTTTTTTTCTAAAAGTTACATGGCAAAATATCATCTGAAGGCTGTGCTGACCTTGACCATGATGTTCAGATCCTTCACGTGTTATCTAAATGGGGGATATAATCTGTGAAATTGGATATATAATAAATACATTGAGGACAGAAAAAGAAATTGTATTATTGTGCCCTAGTCAATTAATTTGTCCAAGGTATTTTCATATTCCTGCCTATTAAACGGTTAAGCTAGAGCCTTGATATGCTACATTACCATTCATAAAGGCCATTAAAGTTTTGCACTATTAACCAAGGAGAAGAGAGAGAGAGAGAGAGAGAGAGAGAGAGAGAGAGAGAGAGAGAGAGAGAGAGAGAGAGAGAGAGAGAGAGAGAGAGGGTGATCATGTTCAGGCTGCTTGCTTGCATGCATCCTTCAGTCTCCTCTCAGAGCAATGACAGCAGATCTCAAACACACTTTAATTATTTCATGAATGTTTAGGTCATGGGAGTTATAGGATAAAATAAATAGGAACGTGTCAATCTATTTAATGCTGTAAAAAAATGCCTTTTTTATATTTACATTAGAATAATATAGCTATCCCAGAGCGAACACACGAAAAATAAATGCGTGTATGAGTACACAATTGGCAGAAATATGATGATACAACATAATGTGATGTTAGTTAACGTCTAAATGCATTTGTGAAACTCTCTATATCTCTTAAAGTAGTTCTGCTTTACCTTATATAACGAAGATTACTCCACCGATAGAGAATCCGATTCCTTTAACAAATGTCCTCGAAAAAAGCGTTAAATCCACAGTGCATGTGATGGTGCGCGGATGGAGTGATGCTGAGTTCAAACCCAGAGTAGTGGGATAATCCGCGCATCCCGAGCTTGCTCTCCTCCGCTCGACTGAGTTGCTCGTGCCTGTCCTGAGCTCGCGAGCTCTGCGGCTCCGCCTACTACTTATATTAAACACGCCATTTAAAGACGTATCGAGACAAATACAGCGGTTTCTGTCAGGAATCCCCTTCAGGTATCTTTACATGAGTGAATACCCATTTTTAATCCTGAATTTCACACCATACTTCCTCAGAATGTCGTCTGCACACACACGAAATGACGAAAGCCCCGGGTGTGAGCGACTGTGTGGGAACAAGCCTGGAAGACTGGAAGCATTTTGGGAAGTCTCCATGGTGCTGAATAAACATAGTTATTGAACTGCCAGATACTAAACGCACACGTAATAACAGTTCCCAAATAATATTTTACATTTACATTTAAAGGGAGTAATTTAAAGGAGGAACACACCTTGAAGTCCTGTTCGACCGTTAATTGAAACATACCAGAACTGTCACGCGCATGCGCAGTTTGCGCACTGCTTAAAAAATCTACTCACTCCTTTCTGTCGATGCTCAGATCAAAGCTATTCTACTGGAGTGACATATGAGACAGTTCTTGCGGCCTAATTAAACGGAAAAGTTAATGAAAAGATCACTGACGCGGCTTAATGAGGCAGTGTGAGAGTACAGTGGGAAAAAGCAAGAGAATGCAAATAGCACGCGGGAAACATGAACGTTTGTCACGCGCAAAAACATAAATAATACAAAAACAATATATTGTTGTTTTTTATATATATATATATATATATATATATATATATATATATCAATGTAAAAGCATAGGGAGTTAACGAGGGCATATTACAAAAAAAATCTAATGATTATTACATATTTTATTTATCAGAGCCTGTAACCAAAATTAGTTGCAGTCCTGGGAAACATTTAGTGTCTTGCTTCAGAGTAAGCTATACACAACACTTGCCGTGATTCTTAGTAGGCTAAATGTATAAAATCAGGAGGAACCTGAAATCCTCAGGAGGTCATCAAATTAACTGTAAACATGTTCCACTAACATTTGACAACTGAAAATGCCCTAATATCCTGCTTTTTACATTGTGTTTTATCGTGTGAAACGACACAGATATCTAAGGTTGCCTGAAAAGTCTACTTGAACATTTTTATTTTATTTTTTATTTTGTTGATCAAACATTATTTACAGCTCTGTGCAAGTAACCAAAGGGTACACAACCCTCATCAAATCCACATTAGAATACACATTTTTAATATGATTAAAATAAGCATCAGGGAATCAGTTGTATGGTATAACTTTAAGCTACAATATGTAAGATTTTTGTAATAAAATATCCAAAAATCACTTGCGCAGTGTGATATATTTCTTGCAGTTGTGTACTTACAATATCCCAAACGTTCCAAAAATATTAATTTCAGAGAAATTCCAATTTTAAATAATGGCTCGTCCCTGTTCACTTGTCGCCTTTTTGCGTTATCCATCGTTTCTGCTTGTACTGCCATAGCAAACATGGTGACAGACATGGACAACTGCGTTTGTCTAGCGGCACACTTTTGTTGTTTCAAACATTATGGACCATGGCAAGCAGACTTTGGGACAAAAAGAAGAACTAAAACAAGTCTCAATATCAGCGTGGCATTTTCGAGATGCCGAGAGCTCTTGCATGTACTTTATTAGACATGTGAACAAATATACATAACAAATCAATGTTGTATAGCTCAACATGATGAAATGTTATAAATATGATCAGTATGTTATTCTAATATTGATCTAGTTTTCTGCTAGTGTCATAAACACATATAACTTAAATGCAGTTTAGTGTGATAGTATAGACCAAGTTAAACAGCGCTGCATTACCTCACAACACAAGTTTAATTCGTCAAATAAACTGACCACAATTGTGTCAGAATTGAGTAACAGGTTTGATAATGAATCCTCAATTAACACGATACCTAAACTAAAAACAGGAAACTTATAATGCGTTTTGGCCGTTCATTTTCTGGTTTCAAAGAACAATGAATTCATGAATTCATGAATTCTTGAATTCAAAACAATGAATTCTCAAAGAACGAAGAATTCTTTGTGTAAACTGCTAAAAATTTTAATTGGTAAAAACCGTGACATCATGCGCATACGTAATACATGATCAGTCCATAGAGTTTCTTTACAGAAAGTGGCATCACCAACAACAGGCCTCGCATGCATAACACAGCGTAATCATTTTTGCGGATCCGTGTGAATGCAGAACCTTTGGCCAACGTTGTTGTGCACAGAACTTTTCAAAACCGCAAAGGAAAAACTTTTCCACTTTTAGTTTTAGTTTAAGACTCATTATAAGAAATCTAGTTTTGTACAAAATGTTGGTTGGTGGTTAACATGTATGTTACATGTTAACCACATGCTACATGTTAACCACATTCTACACATGCTACATAATTTTCCTATACATGTTTTCAATATTTCATACTATTTTAATAATATTTTCATAAAAACATGGCATTAGTACCAATGCTTGAAAAATAAATAGGACAATCTTTTTGGAAAGCTTTTACAAACAAAAGAAGGAAGATGAAGCAACTTCATGACATCCCCAGTGTGCATGTACTGTATACTGTGAAAGCAACATTTAATGAACGGTTATCCATCCCCAGGCCATATCATTTACATTCGCAAGTTCTTTCTTAATGCTTTGTTAACAAACTGCCATACAAACGCCTCTCAGCTCACCAGCACACACTTGGCAACTGTGAGTGAGTGTCAACAGAGGAAACATATTTTGTTGTCCTTTTTTAAGGCTTCTGCGGATGGGGATCTTCTTTCCCAGTGATACAGAGACAGTACTGTTCATCTTTCTTCAACAACACCTCTCCAAAGACACCTGTACACTTTCCAGGACACCATCTGCTACAATTCATTATCCCACAGAACTAAGACAGACAGAAACGCGTAAAAACATGCTGGCAGTCTAATCTATTTCACTCAACTAGTTCTAAACTGTGTTCAAGCCCAGCTGCTACTGCTTCATCAAAAATGAACCCTGGCTCATGTTAATACTGTAAAACAGTAGATCAGTTAAACAAGCTTCCTCGAACTAAATCTTGTATTACTTAGAAATGTCCAAAAGTAGCTCTCTACAAATCAGAGAAAGTCCCAGAAGAAATGCTACACCAACCTCTCTCCTAAATCCACCACAATCCTCTTCTTTTCTGACATTTCTCCTGCCTCCATCCAACCACACAAATTTAAAGAAGAACATCCTTCCAGAACTGTTTCTTGACTCTTTTTTTCCCCCACAGAGTGTGAAGCTAATGCTCTCTGCCCCGCGGCCTGCGACACCTCTGTCATAATTAGGAGGAACATCCTTCAGCCAAGGCAGGTGAAGGAGCCCCCTGGGAGCCCCTGTAAGACGAGCCACAGTCCTGGCACTTCAAGAGGATGTCTTCAAGGCAGGACAGACTCTCTCTGCTACAATATTAGACCTATTTCTGCTCTGTTAAAGACAATGATTAAAATTAACATTGGCAAACAGCGCAGGTTAATATATTACATCATAGCTTTACCTCTAATGATACAATTGTTTTGATGGCTTAATGTGAATAAAATCTTTAAGCTTCAAGGCAACACCACCATGTGTAACATATTTAGAGATTAATTGAGCAATTTCAGGATGAAGGGGAATAAACTGAAACATTTAGCAATTTAGTAGCTCAACAATAATAAAAATACTGGGGTGAAATATAGATATAGAAGAGTCAGACCAGCTGTCTCATACCAGAAACTAGGGTGGGGAATATAGCCTTGTTAGTGTCTCTGCAGCAGTTTTAATTACAAAATAACTCAGGCTACAGAAACACTGAACAGGGGTGCAAGTTAAACAATAACAGACAACGGGCAGACTGAACCACTGGGCTTAAATACACAGATCAAACGGAGAAACTGATGAGACTAATTAACAATACACACCTGAACTGAAACTCAAATCAAATCAGTTACCATTGAAACAAACAGGAATTAGTAAACTAGAAAGCTAACTAAAAAAAAAAAAAAACTAGTCGTCTTAGCACTTGACCACTTGTCTACTTGCATGATATTCTCTTTATTTGGCCCAAGGCTGCGTTCCAGTCCACTTTTAGACACGCCCTTGCAAACTTCCCTATAGCACTTCCCCTCGGGGGTATCCACTTCGTGAAGTGAACGAGGAAAGTTTATATGGACAGATTCGTTCTCTCGATTTAGACAGAGGGACCGAGGCTTCATATGTACACTTCAGGCATCTATTTGTCCCACAATGCAGAACGATTGTGATGTAACCACAGATCGTCTTATCACCACCACAACAAAAACTCTATGATATATTAATTATAATTTATCTATTTATTTTAAAATAACCCAAACACACCTATATACATGTGGATGCTGCATTAAACAAATTCTTAAAGGGAAAAAAAGTAAATATAAATCAACTCATAGCTGACTCAAAGTGATCAAGGGCTTATGCGTTCATGTGCTCATTCATGTTAATTATGGTAAATACCAAAAGCCGACGTGGAAAATGCACATGAACACCTCCTCATGGGAAACTCGTAGAATATTTTGATGGACGAGTTGCCGAGATGAGATAACCTTTGACCATTTCAAAATGGCGGAGAGCACCGCGAGAGTCGTGAATGGTAAAAAATATATACTATGCATGATCTACAAAATATACAGCATATTATTTACCTTTTGAGTTTTGATAAATCATTTTCATGCTGTTGCAGATGACTTAAGCAATCTAAAATAGTTTTAGCTAAATAACAGATCTCCATCTTTTTAAAACATTACGACAACAAAAGCACTTGAACGCAACACACTGGTAAATACCAGTTCACAAGTGGAAAATATCCTATTTTCCATAGCACGTGAACGCAGCATTAGGACGTTCCAGTTCAGATCATTGTGGTTTCCGCCAGTAGTGAGCACTCGTGCCACGTAAGCAATGACGTACATCCGAGTGAACGAGACGGAGGGAAGTTAGCGAGTGAAGG